AAAATGGGATAGGGAAAGCTCATCAAGAATGCTAAATTGCCCCACCTTGCTTAGTTAAGCTCGTTACGACAGCTAATTTACCAGTGTAATTGAGATCTGGCAGCGAAAATGCGAAAATTGCCCACATCCCACCACAAATTTGCTAGATTCTACTTGCCATCGTTCATTGAGCAAGCAGTGAGATCATAATGTTCCAAAACAACTGCCAGCTAGACTTATTAATGAGAATATTTTCCCATTTTTGGGAAACTCTCTGGAAATTTTCACTAAATTGTACAAGTTTTCATTCGTACAAAGCCAATTTTTTTACAAAATGCTTTACTTTGCAGGATTTTTCTACAATTAATCGCCCTCACAGAGGGCAAAGTTTTGTTCAGATCGCATTAACTAGCAAGTCTTCGCGTTGTTTCAAGTAAAACAAACTTATTTTTGCGTCGATTCTACTTTGACACGAGCCTCTAAACCACGAACCATTTCTGAAGATGCAAACCACTCGTGCTTGAAAAATATCACATAAATAATTTGAGAGGAAAAACTTGGAAAAACTCCTGTTTATTCTGTTAAGCTATGAATCAATAATTCATGTTGGGCGTTTCCAGCTAAACCTTCCGACACGCTCTCTTTGTTTTTTCACCATTCTATATTTTTTTCGTTTGGGTCAAAATAATTAGGGGAATTTGTCCGGCAGGTCCAGCCAATGTCCTTCCATTCGAACAATACAATTCATTAAAACTGTACGCACAAATTCGCTCATTTACTTTTCATGTTCAGAATGCGTAACACTAACGGTAATGTTGATCAAGTTACGCCAAACTGGGCTAGCAAAGAGTTTTACTGTACATTTTTCTCAATAATCTGCTGCTTTCTTCAGTGTCTTTCTAACCAGTGTTTTTTCTGGTTAATCAGACAACTAAACAAGGAAATTCCCGGCAAAAGCAGGCTTAAAACCCCGAAAAAGTGTCTCGACTAACCCACTAAGAGGCATCGTTCACGTGCATTTTTCTGACTAGTTTTCACTAACTACTTGACCTGTTAATATTCCACTATAAAATGTACAGGCTGGCAGATGGACGGTTTTGTAATGCGATTTCGGATCCCCGAAGCGCTTGAGGCCAAACACAATCTTATTACGATTCTGCAGAATCACTCGTAACCGTTTATTTTCCGCAGTTCGCTCCTTCGATATCCCCAATGATTTTTAAATTATCCGTTGCAATTTCGCCTGATGGATGGTTACTGCAGCATCTTTTGTACCTGCCCTGGATAATGGCGCACATTACGACTTTCCCTGCTTCTTTTTGCATTTTTCCTGCAGAAGCTTCAATGGTGAAAGTGGATTTCAAGTTGAAAACAGCCAAACTAGTTTTGAGGCCAGATTGGGGTTCTCAATAGCGCAATTCTCCTGCGAATAAACCAAGAAGGGCCCTTCGATGGCTCTATTCAAGAGATCGTTATTTGAGGGATTATAAATAAGTAGGTTTTGCCCCCTTGGAGTTTTCACGCGTGCCTATTTTCGGGGGTGTTGCTCACCCCTCATCATTTTACTCCCGTTTGATAAACTCCTCATTTGGCCATCAAGCCTTAGTCGGACTGATGTGATGCAGAGGTACTAAGCACAAATTGGAAAAACATGCATAAAACACGGAGGAGAAACAAAAATGAAGTAAAAGGAGCGCCGAACGAAATATTGCGCTCCTTGGCTGCAGAAGAAGTTCCATAAATGGCCATTTGCAGATGCATCGGGCTCAAAGGCGTACGAATGCCGGCACTTTATGCGCTTTTGCTCCTCTACAATTTTTCCGTTTTATGCTGATCAATTATTCATTGAGCTTAATGGAAGTTGCACATTTGGCCAATCAGCTTCTGAACTCACTTTTAATCAACGGTTTTTCGGGTGCAACGCACGTCACTGGTTTGAGTGCACGCCTGCAACACTACAAGATAAAGAGCCTCGCGTCTTCATAAATAAACTGCTGATAAATTGGAGTGAACCGAAATGGATGGCCAATCTAAATGGCTTCCTGTTTATCAGCGTGTTTCGAAACCGTGCATCTTCAGTAAATGGGTAAATAACCTGTTCAGTGTGCCAAAAATCCTTTAATAGACTCGTCAGTCTATTCGACCACTAGTCGGTACCAGTCACTGAACAATTACCGTTCGCCACAATAGAAATTACCATTCAAACAATAAAGCGTTTCCCACATATTGTGTATGGAGTGGGTTTAAATACGAATCCAATAAAGTTGAACTGGAGAACATCGTTTGTCCGTATGCGCGACGAGACTTTGCAGTTTCACCGAAATGGAGTTCAGCTGGAAACTTTCCTGGAAAACTATTTCCTTATTATGGTTGGTTGAGGGATTTTTCAGTTTTAATTAATTTCCTATTTGTGTCTGCAAAGTTTTGTTTCAATTGCTTTGTTTCGCAGTTGTTGGTGTTCAGTTTACTCGCCTTTGAAGTCGTTTTTTTATTCTTTGTGTTGTATTTTTACTCAATTGCTTGATTATATCAAAATTATACTTCTCATTTTTTCACAAACTGTTTGTTGGGTATTTCGCCTCAAAAATTTTTGTCTTTAAAAAAGACAGAATTTCCTCACGTCTTTTATTACAGATTGA